TTAAATGAAGGCAAGAAAATAGATTTTATGGACTAAACATACAATAACTTATGAAAATGTGTGTTTTTATTTTATAAACATTACTGGTTCATCAAAAGAACAATCTGACATATGCAATAATTGGATTCAGTTGCTTTTTATAGTTTATGAACTTTAAGTCATTCAGAAACCATAACTTTACATATACTTTTTGATTTTACCATTTTACAGGTAGGATGTATTTCCCACATTGGAACACGCAGCATGTTTTATGAAGTTTAACTTGACATAACTTTCATATGCTTATACATGAGGCATGAGGACACCCACTTGTCCTCCTGTGCTGGTGTCCCACAGATGGTCCGCTGGCCCTGGTAGTGGACAGTGAAGTCAGTGACATCCACATAGATGATGATAGACTCTCTGGGAGTGTGGTATTAGTGCACTAAGAACTCTTAAATCTTGAGGGGAAAGCTTCAAGGAAAGTTCTAATAAGAGCCTAGAACTATAACAGTTAACTTAAGCAAGCCCAGGAGTTGGTCACTGGGAAAGAAGGGGAGAGTGAAGCTATTCTAGAAAGGGTCTCACGGGAGTTGAAGGAGAAGCAGGGAGTAACATTTGGTATCTTATTTTCAAACATGTAGAGAAACTTGCATCTGATTATGAAAGATGAGGATTGAAATATTTATATAATGCAACATAGAGTTTATACACACAGAGAGAAGCAGAGGGAGTTTTGAAAAGTACACCTGTGAAGAAGAAGCATGATTCATGAAACTGTCTGCCACAGAGCAATCTAAAAGCTAAGTATACACAGAAAAAATTATAAATGCAAGGAGCGCGTGACAAAAACACAATTGTCGCAACAGAGTTCAATATATCGGACTCAAAATTAGCTCCAACGGCCCCAAAGAGGTAACAATGTAGGTCGTATTGACTGATCAAGAAACCCAAATATGGGACAATGCCTTTGTTACTATGTTCATGAAACTTTGATAAAAACTGAACATTCACTTGGCCATAAGGAAAATCGTAATGAAAGTTTCAACGCATATGTGACAGGCCACAGTTCTGATCATATTCAATAAGGTTAGAAATAAATATTTAAAAAGTGACCCAAAAAATCTCCAGTACTTGGAAATAAACCAACATCTTCCTGGATGACCTTCATATCAAAGAAGAAATCAAAAGCAAAGTTAAAAGCTACCTATATAGCAAATAGTAAAAGAATGAGATTCTTCATTAATATAAGATTCTAGAAGGGAGGCAAAGTAGTTCCAAGTTTGTACCACCTCCTGGATCCTGGCAGAAATAGACACATCCACTCTCTAGTGGAATGTATACCCACTTTAGGGCTGAAGGGTTTCTGCTTATTAACACAAATAGGAGGTTGCAATAAAAAATCACCAGGCTCACGAGGGAACAAGGCACCATAATGGACATTAAATGGAAGCCACGTAACAGTTAGACCTCCCAGAACTTCGGATTTTGAAGCGTATGGAATACTCAAAAAAATAAAAGAAAAAAAATCACAAAGATGATCAGGCAACAGAAAACTTCTTTGTAGTAAAATAGAATGCTGTAAATGAATAAATATTTGTTAACATAAAGTATAACACAGAGGAAAAGCGAACCTGCAAATTAGACACAATTGAGAAATTAGTGAACTAAAAAAAATCAGAATTATCCAGAACACAGCACAATGAGACAAAGACGTGAAATATATAAAAAACAAGGTAAGATCTATGGAACACAGGATGATATGTTTCAACATTCCTAATGAGAGCTCAGAGGAAGAGAATAAAGTAGAGAAGAGGAAGAGGAGCTATATCAGAGAATTACTCGGGATAAACAGGGAGAAATGACATCCAGACGCACCACAGTGAAATGGACGACTACCAAAAGCAAAGAGCCAGAGAGAAAAGAGCAATCGCCACAAGGCAGCAACAGTTAGACCAAGAGCGGACTTTCACAGCAACAACAGGGCCAGGAGCCAGGTGAACACTGTCTGTAGATGGTGAGAGGAAATAACTGTCAGCCTGGGACCACCAAACTCTCTTTTAAGAATGAACGTGAAATGAATATATTTTCACATAACAAAAACTGAGCTTTATCATCAATAGACCTTTATGAAAACACCATTATAAAATATGTACTCTGGGAAGAAGGAAAATGGTCCCAGAGGGAATGTCTGGGATGGAAGGAAAAAGGGTGAATACAGAACGTGAGGAATATAGATACACATCTAAAATAAACACTGCATGCTAACTTGACGGGTTGAAATGCAAACCTCCAGGACTGGAGAGGGACGGTGGTAAACTGGGAGGTGAGTGGGAAGGAGGAGATTTCAAGATCCTTGCGTTACTTAGGAAGGGAATAAAGTACTGTTAATTTTAGACCTTCAGTTAAATACGCATTTGGTGAACCACTGGAAACATAAAGTGAAACAAATGGAAATAGAACGTGCAATGTCCTAACCACAGGCAGAAAAAGGCAACAAAAAGGGGGAAAATCAAATCCTAAAAAAAGCAGGACGCATAGAAATCAAAATGCCAAAGGATAGAAACAAGTCCAACTATATATGATAAGGAGTATAATAAAACCATGGTAGCCACTTAGAATGCTATATTGGATTTAAAAATCCAGATATAAATTATGTTACAAAGGACACACATGTTCTTACACTGTCAGAGTTTCCTGAGATGCAGATACAAGGAAGGGGTCAGACGTGTAAGAGATTTCTTGGGGGAAATGCCCGTGAAAGATGTAGAGAGAAGGAGAGAGGCTTCAGACAGGGTGGTGGTCTGACACTGTGAAGGGGGAGGGGGATAAAGGAATTGGCTGGGAAGCGCCTCAGACAACAGGATAGTTCTAAGACCTCGTCAGCCAGAACAATGGAGGGTCCACGGAAAGCCTGTCCTCAGAGAGATCCCACGTGGGCTTCAACGGCCATTCTCCACACCCCTGCTGTTCTCAGTCCTCGGCTGGGAGCACCCCAGGGGAAGCACGTCCCCAGTGGGAAGATTGTGGTAGATCTGCAAATGTGGCGACCAGAGATTGTCAGTCAACTCCCTCCCCGCAGCAGGTTCTCTTCGAGGAAGATTCAAGCATCGCGTGTCGCCACACACAGAAATGCTGAAACTAAGATGACGGAGAAATATGTACAAAGCTAATACTAACAACAAAGATAAAGGAAAAGTGGCTGTATTAAAAATAGAAAAAACAGACTTTAGGAGAAAAGACTATTTTTATGAAAGTTAACCGATCTCATTAGTTTCTGGTTTACCCTTTCTACATTTCTCTTTGCAGACGCATGTAGATTTTTATTTCCCTTATGCAAAAGTTAGCATACTATATACCCCATTATTAGGTTAATATACTGTATTTTGCTATCTTACGAAGAACTATTATGCTTTTGCGCCTTGCCTTTTTCACTTCATAATGTGCCATGGAAATCACTCCTTCTCAGTTCACAGAGATGTTCCTTGCCATTTTTTACACCCACATAGTGCTCAGTTTTGTGGCTCCACCATAGCTTATTCAACACACATCTGTAAAAAGGAACAGGAAAGACAAACCGGAGAGTGAGATGGTTACCTGTGTGAGCAGGTGGGAAAAGGGTGGAAGATATGGGCGGGGGAGGGAGTAATATTTCTCTGAGTGTGCCTTTTCATGTAATTTTGACTTTTGGAACACACTCAAAAATACTATCTAATCATGTCAACAAGGATGTGAAAAAAACCTTCAAAATGGAATATAAACAGAAACCTATGAACCTGACTCGATTTCAAATTAATAAAAAAACCACACTGAGGGGAGAAATAAATAACCAAGTAAAGTTTGAATACAGCACTTGACTTATATCTTTGTGCTGAAGATAAAAAGAATTGCAAACAAATATGAATTCAGATTAGTTTGTTTTTCACGGTAGTACGGGTTAGAAATTTGAAACATTCCGAGTAAAATGGAGATTGAACGCACGAGTAAATATATGGAGGAAATGGGGGCCAGTTTTCTCACTTTGAATAAGAGCTGCAAATATGGAGAGCGGGAGGATGAGCCATCTGGAGCTGGACGGCATTGGAGGTATTGGCGTGAGCTCACGGATTCTAGGACAAATGATTATTAGATGATAGAAAGAGACAAACAGATATACTTGTGTGTAGCTCCTACCCCTAACCACCCCAGGTTTATCTGCAGAAAAGAACTAGAAATAAAGACGTCCCAATAGCAATGAGCATGCTAAATTTTGGTTACCAAATGCCATTCCCCATTAACAGGAAGTTGAGCTCCTTGGAATAATATCCAAGTCTAGGACTGTGATAGGAAAAGCAAAAGATGAGCCAGAAAAAGCAGAACATCATAAAAAAAATAAATAACGGGGAATGTCAAAAGAATGCAGGACCCAGCTTGAAGGGAAGGGCTTCCCAGAGTGGGTCCTTACTCTGTTCTCTGGGAGAAACTCTGTCAGTTTTCTCTGTGGATCCTGGCTCCATTCTCTGAAAAAATTTTTTTTCCTAATATTCTCCATAGCCCATCTCAAGTGGGCATTAAGAAGTGTCCAAGGGGTCTACAGGGTTTTCACTGCTTATATTTTGCCTTTGAAAGTTTGGGGTCCCAAGGGTTTTAAGACTTGAATACTCATTGGATCATTATAGTGATTTCTTTGGCAGTGCAGATGCCTCAGAAATACAGTGGACTTCTGATCTGTTTGTTCCCGCTCAGTCCCATGTATCAGGAACCACGTGTGAAGTCCGTGCCAGAGGTAGGTTCACATGACTGCTTGGTCTGTCTCCTTTCCCCAGGTCTCGACCTTGCAGCTTACTGGTGTCTGCTTCGGAGGCGTTGGAAGGCACAGGCATGGGTGGACTTCAGTAGACTTATGCTGATTTTTACCATGAGATGGAATCACTTTATCTAACTGAGGAACCTCACAGGCCTCTGTTTCTCAAAGATTTTATTTTTCAGGTTTTTACTTAGATTCTAGAGCAGTTTGCTTTTCCATCCTTGTGATTTCCAACTGTGATTTCCAATCAGCCAACTTTTGCGTAAGGTCGTTTTTGGTTTGTTTTGTAATACCTTGCTGAAAGCAGCAAGCAAAGCTAACACACATTAATGCTCTTTCCAACCCCTTCTCCTAAAGATGCAGGCTCCGTAGGCATGTGGTCTGTCCAAGTTATGACAGGTGGCAATTTTACCAAATATTTTGCCTTTCTGTAGTACTCGTTTCCACTTTTTCCAGCCTGTGTTATTTATTTCCTCGCTGCCTAAACTTTGTCATCTAAGCCAAGGTCACTTGTTTTTGTTTTAGTGTCACTCTGTGTTAAGGTGCCACTCTCTGTGTTAATCAGGATGGCACTACCTGCTGTAACCCATGACCCCTGCCCTGCCAGCTCTGCCTGCCTAACCTGGTGGTCCGTGAGTGCCCCCCTCAGTGGGCAGTTTTCCTTGACCTGGTAACTCAGGGCCCTGGACTCCTGGCATCATGCCTCTGCAGCCTTGCTGTCCTCACCTCCAACCAGTGGATGGGAATGAGACCATGAGACCTAGAAGTGACACACGTCACCTCAGCTCCCGTTGCGCTTCTGAGAAGTAGTCACACAACCCCTGGCCGAGCTCCCTGCTCCGGGAGAGAAGCCCAGACTGTGTGTGGAGAGCAGGCTCCCTCCCCCACTGTTCACAGTGAGTCTGCAGCACCCTTTGGTTCCACGTAAGGCCGTCAGCTGCCCGAAGGCTGACTCGAGTGTCTGCTTTCACTCCCAACCTTTTGTCTGTGTAGTGAAGTCAAATCCCTGATGTAAAAATCGACGTTTAAGTCTCAGACTTTCTTGTGTTAGACTTCATCATGACAGTGGCATCTCCATTAAGATGGTAATAGCTTAAGGAACAATTTATGGACTAAAACTTTGTAATGGAAAGTAGAAATCATGCAATTGATGTTTAGATGCGCTCTTTAGGATTCCCTCTCTACTTTGTTGTATTGTTCTGCTGTGCCTCTCCAGAACAATTTGTTCCCTGTTATCTCAAGGTTAAGAGAATCGTGCTCACATCCCTCCCACATTGCTCAGGGAGGCAGCAAATAGCGAGCAGGCGTGATGTGGGTGGAACCAGGTTCAACAAAACATATGTCGGGATCCTGATCCTAGTACCTCAGAATCTGACCTTATTTGGAAATAGGGATATTCATACGTGGTTAGTTAAGATGAGGTAATGAGGGCAGGCCCTAATCGATATGATTGGAGTCCTTCTAAGAAGAGGGGACGTGCTGTGAAGACACACACAGGAGAATGGCCACGTGATGACGGACGCAGAGACTGGGGATGCAGCTGCAGGTCAGGGAATGCTGAGAAGCCGGGAGGGGGCAAGGAGGGTTCCACCCAAAGTCTCAGCGGGAAAAGGGTCCTGCCAACACTTGATTTTGGACGTCCAGCCTCTAGAACTGTGGGAGAATAAATGTCTGTCTTTGTAGGCCCCCAGTTATGATATTCTGTTCAGGCAGCCCTGGGAAGCTAAGACCAGGTGCTAGGTTTGGACTGAGCAGATCTGGGGTTAAATACCCTTTCTCTCACTTCCGTCTGTGTGGTCCTGGGCAGGATGCTTTACCTCTCAGAGCCTATTCCCTCAACTCTAAAATGGGAGAGTATAACGTTTACCTTTCAGGGCTGTTGGGAGGATTTTTAACGTCCTGACGCACTGTAAATGCTGGGCTGGGGAAAATCGTGGAGGTTGTTTGTTGGCGTATTGAGTGGCGTAAGCGTTGGCTATTCTTCCAGATGCAAGTGCTGCAGCTGTAAACTCAAGAAAGAATTGTTTGCACGATGTGTATCTACACACGCAGGCATCTCTGTATGCTAACATTCAGACAGTAACTCCATGCACACATGAAAGGGTCTAGTTAGCTTTGCCTTGGGGCAGGCAAACTCTTCTGTGAGAAAGGGTCAAGAAGGACATAGTGGTGCAGTTGATTCATTAATTCAAGAAATACCTGCTGAGCACTGAGCTTGTCTCGGCACTGTGCCGAGCCCGGGTGCTGAAGCAGAGAATGGGTAAGGCTCTCTTGCCGACAAGTGGTGGGCAGGGTCACTTGATGAGTCTTTTGAGGGCAGTGCCGTGGGACAGCTCAGGAATTCGGAGCCAGGGCGTCCATACCAGCCTCGGAGCCAGGAAGGGCTGGAGAAGAGGCCCCTGACCTGAGCCCCCAGGTGTGAGTACTAATTATTCAGGTGAATGTGGCTGTTTGGGGGCACAGGAGCTCCCAGCAGAGGGAGCAAACAGAAAGGGCTCCACAGTGGGAGGTAGCACCTACGAGGGTTCTCTGGTCATATCTGTATGTTCTTATGTATTTGGGGAGATCATTCCCCTGGATTTGGAAACTTTAATTAGTCTGAGGCAGCTGGCTGTTCCTTTACAATCTTGCCCTCTATTCTGGTCTTCAATTTGCTCCTAAAAATGCTTTTGCTACAATTTTTCAGATGAAAAGTCACCCTTCGGGATAAAATAAAATGCGCAGACAGCCCTTTGGCCTTTGCTCTGTTCTTGGCTAACAGGTGCTGTCTGTCCCAAGCGGTGGGCTTATCCCTCCCTTGTTTCTTTTGTTTTCCAAATATAGCTTGTGAAAGTCATGCCTTTGTTCTGTAGGATTTTTTGTAAACCTAGGTCCATGGTGCGCCCCAATTTTCTGAGAGCTGCTGTGACAGATTTGTTCTTCTCGCATTTGTGCCTGCTCATCCCCTCCCTCTGTTGTGATGTCTTGTATGAAGATGTCGTTTCAAACAGGAATCCATCAGCAAGGTCCCCCAGGATGACCCCAGTGCTCTCTTTAAATGCCCCCCACCATCTTCATTTTATTCTTCATTTAGACTTGAGATTCAAAATTTCACTTATTTTAGAGCTTGACATGTCCCTGAGCCATGTCTCCTTTATGGTCTCTTGCCATATGGTTTCGAAACTCATCTTCCTAAAATCTAAGGAACAGGCCTAATAGTTCCCAGAGTTCTCTTGATTGATTGTTGTAGCCACCAAGATGTCCTAGAAATGTAGACATTGGGAGAAATTCCTCAGCGCGTGCAACAGGATATTGAATACAGGTTTCCTGTTGTCTTGGAGTGTCACAGAGGTCCCAAAGGCTGCAAACAATGGGTGACAAATTCTCCCACATTCCAAAGGAAGGGCCAGCACCTGTGCTGAACCTGAAACGAATGTGGTCCAAAGTGAGCTCCCTGCACCCTGCGCAAGGCTGTATGAGACGAGCTGGAAACGTCATTGAGATGTTGAAGCAGCTGGTGGGGAGGCTCTGCTTGGTGAGAGGGTCAGCGTGCTGGGAGTTCCCACCAACCTTGCCACGAGGAACAAAGGGAGAGGCGAGCTTTCCCCGCCTCAGCCCATTGACAGTGGCTGCAAAAAACCAAACCAAAACAAAACAAAGCAGCCTGGAGAGCCTGGCATGTGATCTGTAGCCAGTTGCTCTTTTGAGCCAAGGATGGGGCAGTGTCGAGGATGGTCCCACGTCCAGATGCTGATGAGCCTGACATGGATCACGTGGGAGGGAATGGATGGTTTGGAGCAAGGGCTCTCTCAAGACACTGCTGGTCTGTGCCAGGTAACCTGAACAAAGTGGGGATCACCAGCAACCCGGGGCTTGGAGAGAGCTTTCAGACCTACCAGAGGAGGAGTTGTAGCCCACATCAAGGAAACTGGAGGCAAGAGATCACCAGCAATGCAAGCTCTAAAGAACCCACAAAATTACCCCGTGGAGAAAAAATCAGTGTTTGCTGTTGCCACATCCAGAGAGTACTAATGATGGATTTCAGCTGAACCAATCAAGTGAGAAAGTTTTGCCCCATATCTCCTCTCCTTCCTCCAAGTCCAGCCCTGAAGGAACTGAGTGCAGACAGTGACTAGGGGCTGAAAAGTAAAGAACAAGCTGGATAGACAGAGAAGCAGCAGCCAGGTATGGTGGAGACAGCTGGCAGTCCACCATGGCTTGTGCTCCCCTCCATGACTACGTCATTCAAGAGAGTGACTACTCACCATGGGGTTACGGTTTCCAGAGGCAATGCCCTGTGGATAGTGATGGGGGCACATGACTGAGTTCTGCCCAGCGGGATGTGGGTGAAGGTGATAGATGTTACTGGCCCACATTAACCTCCCAGAAAATCTTCCATGTTCTCTCTTTTGCCTCTTCTGGCAGCTAGATGTTGATACCCAGGATATAGAAAACCCTATAAATACCCTACCCAGGTGCCCTTAGCCCTTAATATTTAAGTGCACACTAACCTATATTCCAGCTGCCTGTGCCTGACTCTCTTTGCCTGAAGGCTTTTTTCAGCCACTGGAGCCTTCTTTGCCCATATATATGGCAGGTTGGAAATGCCAGGGCATTAGCACCTCCTCAATATGTGAGCAATCCTAAGCCAACGGCTGTGTGGAGTCCGTGGAGAAATCCCCCAGCCCCCTTCTCCCTGGGTGAGGTAACTCTGGAGCGCACGGTCTATACCGTTTCCCAGCAGGACTAGGTTCTGGTGGCCCTTGGTGATAAATTGTGTAACTATTATTGTCTTCTTTCCTTTCCCCACCTCACTTCCCTGATCTTTAGTGATTGGCTGTGACTGCCTCCCAAATAAAAACTACCTTTATTCAAAACTTGTTTCAGGATCTGCTTCTGGGGAAACCCAATCTAAGACCAGGGCAACTTTGGAATCCACATTATTGAAGACAGCTGAGCCTCTGACATCTTGGATCCTTGAACAACGAGGTGGAGGAGATCCTCCTCCCCCACCAACACCATATTGCCCCAAGCCCACTACAGCTGATTCCATTTTTTACGAGCAAAAACTAATTTCCATTGTGTTAAGCCACTGACATTTCGGGATTTATCTGTTACAGGACCTCAGCTAACACGCTCTGTTTGCCTCACTTTTCTTTGGCAGGTTCCCAAACATAAAGCAGATCCAGACCCGGGAAAGGGAAAAGCTTTACACTGGAAGAGAGTTTGAAATTTTCATGCTACTCTGGGTGGATTTTTTTTCTATTGTGTTGAAAATGAAATTTAAGATTTATAATCTGAGAGTGACCCACATTTCATCTGGGGGTGGGGAAGAACGAGTTGAGAGAATAGGTAAAAAATAAATTAAATTGCTTTCCGCCTGCATCCTACTAAGTTCAGCTCTTTCAATAAACTGGTTATAAGTGATGTCTGTTTCTCTGATTCAGTGGAAGCAGCTATCCTGACAGCTCAGTGTGAGCTAACAAAACAATAGAAAAAGTGTTTTTGCTGGTAAATTAAGCATTGCCATGTTTAATTTTATTAGTTTTCCACTTGACCATGCATTGAAAGATACACCTATATGAATGAACATTACTCATTATTATCTGTTATAATAGCTGACCATCTTATTTTATTTATATTGAGGAGAAAGAAATATTAGTTATGAACTTCGAGTTTGGAAATTTTCGTGAAAAATTCTAAGTCCCCTCCCCCTCCCCCCTACTACCCCAAGTCTAATTCCTAGATGCTGTGTTCCTTTCTAGCTCCTTCGGGCTGAAAGCTTATGTTGAAACAAGTGCTTTGTGTCAACTTCCCTTCAGCTTCTGGGTAGTCTCTTGTTTCACAGGATCCACGTTCGTCTGTTCCTTCCTCAACCCTTCATCTCATCAGGAAGGCAGGAACCCCGAGGTCATGCCCAGATATAGCCCTATGGTGTCCCACTTTCTTAGAATGAGAATTAAGACAGTAATAGCAGCAAGAGGACAAACTGGAACAGGCTCTGAGCACTCACGCACACACAAGAAAAGGAGCGAAAATAGCTGTAGTTCATGAATGTGAAACACTCGAATGCCCAATATCAAAATGGAAGCCAACAGTTTATGAGTCTCAGCTTTACCCTAAATATTTTTATACCACAAAAAGACACCTTCAAATTAACTGAGATGCCATTTATCCAGAAGGTAAAATTAAAATCTAAATTTCTTTGGATTAATAATAATATATTACATTATTGAGTATTTACTATGTGCCAAGTATTGTTCAAGGCGCTATGTACAGTCTAACTCATTCTATCCTTATGACACACTGTGCTAGACAAGAACTTTCCTTACCTCCATTTTACAGATAAGAAACTGAGGAATTGAGAGGACAAGAAAATTGTTTCAAGTTTCACTGCTCAGAAGTGGTAGCGTCTTGGTTTAAAACAGGGCAGGCTGGCTTCCCAGCCATGGTGTCAATCCTGGTATTAACGGCTACTGCTTGGTGAGTTCCACAGTGCAAGACTCAGGGGCATGTGCTTCACCTTGACCATGTACTTCAACCGTCACAACAGCTTCAAGATCGCGT